TGTTTTCTCTGCATGTAAGATAAGCACTGGGCAACTAACAACAAGGTCGGTGGTTCAGGCCCACCAGCCACTCCGAGGAAACCCTACACAGGGTCTCCTAGGCATGGCTGGTGGGTTTGAACCCCTGATTGACCCATAGCACCACACCAAGGACTCCAACCCCTGCCCCCAAAATTCTCCATCACAATCACCTTCAGTTGCTACACTTTTAAGTCACTGAAAAGGCTCCCAGCCTTTTCTTGCACTAAAGTATGCATCTGTTCCAACTGACCTACAGATTCAACTTAAAGAATGGATCTCATTCATAACCCGGGGACTGTCTGTACAGTGATGCAGGTTAACATCACAGACTGGCTGAGTACTTGGATGCTGGGGTAGCTGATATTCTCTGTTGTTGTTGCTAAGTGCAGTCGAGTCAGTTCCAACTCATAGCGACCCTGTAAAGAGAGTTTCCAAGGAGCGGCTGGTGGGTTTGAACTGCTGACCTTGCAGTTAGCAACCTAGAGCTTCTTCTACAGCATCACGCCAGGTCCTGGAGTTACAAAAGGTCTCTAAATTGTAGCCATTATTTCTTGAGGGTCCTGAGACCATGTTGCACGTGGCCTTCCCATGGCTGAGACCCTTTGGGTCAAATCAGTTCCCTATTTTCTCGGTATACACTGTAGGATAAGGCCTGGACTACTAACCATCAGGTTGGTGGTTCAAATCTGCCAACCGCTCCTTAGAAACCTTATGTCTGCAGGGCTACTGTGGTCAGAACCAACTCAGTGGCACTAAACAGCCCTGGTGTGGTGGTGTAGGATAAGCACTGAACTGCTAGCGTCAAGGTAAGGTCACTCTGAGTTGGACCTGACTCGATGGCACATAACCACAACAGTTGTTGTTGTTGTTAGGTGCCATCAAGTCAGTACTGACTCATAGTGACCCTGTGCACAGCAGAACGAAACACTGCCCGATCCTGGGCCAACTTCACAATTACTGCCATGTTTGAGCCCATTGATGCTGCCACTATGCTAATCCATCTCATTGGGGGTCTTCCTCTTTTT